CCTTTAAATTGGTTCTGACGCCCATGCATTTTTCAACCTTTAAATCTGACAGGTCTATAAAGTAGTCATTACAGTCAGTTTCTAGTGCAAGATGAAAAGAAGCCAACAGGATGCAGGAACAAGTGAAACTATCCTACACCACCCAACCTTACAACTGAGCCTGTTAAAATACACCAGAATGCAGGAAATGGCGTCTAATTCATTCAAAATTTTCTGGGGGAGGACCCCCAGACGCCCCAGAGTGATTTTACACACTGTTTTCTCCTTCATTAAATACCATATATCCCTGATCACAATTGTTGGCAAAAGTCCAAATATGCAAATTGGACGATGACGTTATTTAGCAGCTTTTAGGATGGCCGAAAGCAACTTTTGGCAACAGTGTTCAGCGGCTCGAAATCTCACTCCATGCTCAGGTCAAAACTTGAGAGCCCTGATAAGTAGTCAAGGTCCCTCTCACTGCACATTCAAAGAAGTGTGCATGCGCAGTTCAGTCTCTCTGGCCCAGAATGCACAAGTATAATCTTTTAGTGTTAATAATGTTTAAATATAAGAACTAAATTAGCAGAAACACAAGTTTAAATTATATTTTCTTTCTTCCTGCTTCTTCCTCCTATCAGCTCAGACACCAGAGTTTTAGCTCCGCCTCTTTGCTGCTGAAATGGACAATTTTCTGAAAACTCACCTCTGAAAAAGACACAAAAACACTTTTATCTGTGATTCATGAATCATTTTGAGTTGTGTTCACTAATGTTGTCACATTACACATTCAGGTTTGATTTAACATTTGTGTTGAAGTTTTAGTTACTGACTGTAGCTGACACCATAGGTCTGTGTCACAGACATATAGAGGGAAAATGACCAGGATAAATAACTGTGTCCTAAGATAAGTTCCTGTAAAGGTGTTGTCTATGCTTACACATGGTGGATGCTAATATGATGAAAATGAGCACGTTAGCTTCCAGCCTAGCAGCATCAGAGATGCAGATTATGTGTGTTTCTATTTTGTTGAGGTAACTTAAACGGTTTAAGGCAATCAGTTTCCTCAAATCATTTGAGTTCAACTAACTTGTCAGGTTTTACAGTGTGCAAGAGTTAAGTTGTCCAAGAAGCTCCTGTTTTTTAAGTCCTCCTGAGATTACTGAGAAATCCTGTGTTACCTGCTGACATGCCTTGCCTGCCTTACCTGCCAGATCCTCTCCTGGACCCATATTCACCTGCTGCCTCACCTCGCCTGAAAACCTACTTACCTGCTGGATCCTCTGATGAAAGGTCTGAAGTTACTTACCTGTTGTGTCATGTTGATCGCTCTTCAGAAAAGGTAACCCTATGAACAATCTCTCTGAAAACAAACTCTCCAGGAAACCAGCTAACCATTATTCTGTTTACAGGTCCAAAGGTTCCTGTCATGGAAAGTATTCCACCAGGCAGGAATACGTGAATAAACAAAGTGAAACTGCGTGGTCTGGTCTCAGATTATTTAATAGAAGTGCATATGCAAGAGAGATCGAGTGGAACCAGGCAGACGTGATCAGAGCATCTGTCAAGTTTGCACTAACTCAGAAACAGGAAACAGACAATTATATATCCTGATGCATCTCAGTACAGACAATTATATACTTCCAGACAGAGTCCTGTTAACAAATAAGAGCCTGCCAAATCCTACAAAGATATACAGAGGCCAATGAAATAATTACAAGTTATATAGGCCACATTAAATGAGAACAAGATTCCAGAGTACATACAGCATTGTTATGAGAACAGATTGCACAGACAGTTATCAATGAGATACAAAACAGGAACATGTCAAGGAAATATGCAGTCATCCAGAGATATACAATACTTCCACTACAGTTCCCAATTCCCTGAACACTGTAAAACTCGGTTACCGTTATTTTGCCTACTGTGTTTTTTTTCCCCTCTTTCGCTGCCTTACGGTGACAAAAGCCTTAAACTCTGTCTAATATGCAGTGGGCAGTAGGATTTCCCTCAAGGCGTGAGACTTTTATTTTAATTTAACTGTTATATAACTAGGCAAAACTAGATTTATTTTGCAAGACTGGTACAGTACATATTTTTGGTCTGTGGGGGAAACTTGAGTAACCAGAGTGAACTTACACAAGCACAATGAGAACACGCAATCTCCACACGGAAAGACCCCAGACCCAAACCAGAGATCGAACCCAATACCTTCTTGCTGTAAGGCATAAATGCTAGCCACTGAGCCGTCGTGCTGCTCTTATTGCAGTTTTTTCAGCTTGGTGCAAAAGTGCAAAGTCAAACATAGCACCACATTTTGTTAAATGGGGCGTATAATGCAAAGTTCTGTTTGTTTGTGGGTGTTTTTTAGCTTTACATCATGTATGTCATTCCCTCATCACAAAAATACCCAGAGTGTTGGCTCATTCTTGCATGTTTGACAAATCTTTGAATCTCCTGTGGTAGTGATGTGGAGCTGCCTAAACATTTGTTAATACAAAACACCATTTATGCTCCCTGAAGCTCAGTCCATAGCCGAACTCCCACTCCACAGAATCAGAATGCCTTTATTTGTCATTGTGTAGAGCACAACAAAATTTGCTTAGAGACAACCCATCCTAGAGAGATGAAACAAAACATAAATGGGGGGACAGGTGCCTGAGCCTGCAAGCATCGAAAGGTACTGCACTTGCATAAGAAAAATAAAAGAAATAGGGATGATGAGGGAGGAAAAAAACACATTTCATACTGTGTCCCTGCAATGTTTGTATTTGTGGATAAGGTTTTTGTTGCACATGGCTATCATTTTGGGGAGCAGACTCTGATTTCCAGGCCTTTAAATAAACTAACATTCAAGTCCATTTACATGAAAATAGTTTTTTGTTTTATTCAGTGTATCTCATTGGAAGTTAAAGTCAAGGAAAATGCTATAGATTAAAATAAAAAAATACTTTATTGGTTTAACAAATAAATTCTGGACCAATAAAACAAACTGAACTGTGTGTGTGTGTGTGTGTGTGTG